CGACTGCCGTGGGTGGCATCCTGTTTCTACGGTTTGGCGGCAATAGATTCCAACCTGTGATTTCCGGTGAGCAATTGCCATGGACGAAATCCTGTTTCATGAAGGCACATCAATACAAGTGTTTTTTTTTTAGGACTAGCAGTGATGTTTCTTTGGACTTATTTATAGTAAAGTGAAATTCATATTAACCGCGTAGTTATTGTTCTGTGATATGTTTTTTGCATATTGAATGCCAGTATTTAAAGATCATGTAAAATATTTACTGTATCATTAATAGTGTAATATTTTTTAAAGGAAAAACCCTTGGGGTTAATAAATGATCAACTAAGTGTAATTTTTGATAATGATTATGTTACATTCTTTAAGTTTCTGATATTGATTAAATTTATTCATTGTGTTTTTATTTTATATATATTGTTAATAAATTGGTTAAGTTTAAAACTTTTGTCATCAATGTCTGCACAGTATATAACCTTAGGGAGCTTCTATTGCTAATTCTGCTAAATGTTTTTACAACTTTAAACTTTGCTTTTGCATCACTAACAAATGCCGATTGCTGCACTGAAAGCTTCAATTTCAGCTCACATACCTTCTTCTTCCTAATTTCCAAACCCTCTGGGTAGTTTGTTGCAAATGTTCCATAATTCATCTGAAAGTGACATTCTAAATTATGTTTTTTGGCAAATGCTACAGAAGCACCACACAGCAAGTACATGCACTTCCCTTTCACATCAACAAAGCAATACGTTTCGTCCCAGATGGAATTGTAATTGTATATCTTCTGCCTTTTGCTGAGCCCTCTCATCACGATACAGCAGGAAAAAAAAAAAAAAAATCGCTAAGCTTTGATGCAGAATGAGGACGCTGAACAAGACTAGGTGCACCACTAACACTGTCACTGCCAAAAGCTCAAAGAAGACTGGTGAAGAACGCAGGTCAAAAGTTGCCTTTTGCACCTTGTTAAATACTTAATATAATTGTGTCCTACAACTGAGCCACAGGCCGACTCTGACCTTCAGTTCCTTCTACTTTTGTCACTCTTTGTCAGCCCTTTTTGGTGTGCTGAGTTTTGTAATATTGTGCCACAAATCTTAAAACTTTATGGTTCTATCATCGGGCTTGTTAGGCCGGTCATTACAGAAACATAATACAGAAATTACTCCTTTCTGTGAATTTTTTTAAACCTTCTCAGTAGCTGCATTCAAGGGCCATGTACGTGTCATTCACAGGCATTTCCAGAATTTATCTCTCCCTCTTTTTTCAGAAATTGGGTGGCCGGGCCTCCGCGCTCGCTTGCATTGTCATTTTAAACCGGACAGAGGTGATAAGAAGGATCAAGACATGCCATCACCCTTGATGAAACCCAAGACAAGGCCATTCAAGTTTATGACCCTTCCCCCCGTAATTGCTTCATTCGTACTGTTTACATTCTCAGTATTTTACTGTGGCTTAATCTTACTGTGGCTCATAGCACATACTACCTTTTGGCAACATCCATTCAACACTAACAAATGTTGGATTTGGCTGCTAGCCATTTTTTCATACTTTTTTCACTAACATTTGAAAACTTTAAACATTGGAAAACATTTCAATGAAACTTGTTGTTTAACCTATTCATGGACAGAATCTTCTTTACCAATATGATGCATCGGTTCACTTCAGACATAAATTAAAATTTTTAACTCCAAGACTTAAGAATGAAATTCACTGCATCAAGATCATTTTGCCCAACAACTTAGGACTTTATGATCTTCAAAGTATCATGATCTCACTATGATGTTAGAAGCTCTACAGTACAAAGTCCGAGATCTAAACTTTTCAGGATTTCTGGATTTGGGATTTTTGTGGATATTAGAACATCAATTTAAATCTAGAAAGATGGCATACAGAAATTGTAAAATTAAAAATGTGAAATCATGATTTCTGAAATAATGAAGTATTTATGATCTAAAGGGTATCAGAATTTTGTTTAAGTCCTGTAACTGCTGTGTCGAAAATTCCACATGCTTAAGGCTTATCCGAGTCCTGAATAAATTAAATTCCCACATATACTTTATCGAGGTTTATCCAGGGACGGAACTAGATACCTTACTGCCTGATACAATCTCTGCAGGTCCTAAATTCTGCTACCAAGCACCTTCCTAAGTTCTAAAATTTTTAAGCCCCTAAACTTTAGGTCCCAGTGTTTTACCTAAATTATAAAAATTTGATCATCCTTTAATTTTGTTGCAAAGTGCTTCTCTAAATTCCAAGAATTTTGTCTTCCTTAAGTTCTTCTGCTCAGTGCGGCCAAATGAGCTCTGGCACTGGTTCTAAGTTTCTGTGAATACAAATCAGTTATTCTTAATTCAAACAGCACAGTAATATTTTGGCATATGAGGTATCATTAACAAAATCTGTTTCTAGCATATGGAAAAAAATTTTTCCTCGTCAAAATTTCTTAGTACATTTAACTTAAGTCTGTAATCATTGCCAAGCCTAATGCCAACATAAAAGGTTATCATACTCTTTTTTATTCAATTACTAATATTAAAAAAAATTGTTCAGACGTGAGTCATTACTCAAGTTGTCATGTTGATAAACATGCAGCGATGAAAGCAAATATAATAAATAATGATTCACCAGTTTGACACCAGGGATGTAAAATATTAGTAGGTGTAAAATCAATGATGTTTCTATGTAGAATGTTTCAGTTTGAGGAGCATGCCAAGCAGATACGCAGCTATGGAGCCAAATTATTGATCACACAAATTTATGCTAAAATGATTGTTTCTTCAACAATTGGATATTTTATTTAGTGCAAAAGTGAAATAAAGAATTGCGACTCTCCACGTTTTATTATGGGGAAAAATCAAATGCGCTTGCGTAAAGCATACAAAAAATTTTCCTCATATACATTTATATAAAAAAAGGAGAAAGAGTTGTTGGTAACTTTGAGGCTCAAATTTCAGATCATTCTAAATATTGGACGTCTGGATCTTGGACTTTTTACTGTACTTTTCAAAAGCCAGTGTGAAAGAGTTCTAATGTAAATTTTATTGGTTTAATAAGCTTCTAAGTTTTTTGTTATAGCATGGTGGTAAAATATTTTTTCAAAACTAATACTGAAAGAAGACTACATCTTAGCAAGTTCGAAAGCATTTCTTACAAAATAATGTGAATAAAAAAATATAGCAAACTTTTACTTCAGCAATTGCATAATTATACTGAAAAAGCAGAGTACTGAATTCCCCCCCCCCATTTCACATTGCATATATTTGTTTTAAACTACGGAAAAGATAATAAAATCTAAATTTACTGAAAAAAATTATTTTATTAACTAAAGTTAAAAAAACTTAAAACTAATAAAATACAATACTATTATAATTATTTTGTACTAAATATTTCGTCAGCATCTTATTTTGAAGAAAATGAATTTAAAAAAATTTGGGGGGTGGAAGATTTAACTTTTCATTTATTTGATCTACTGCAATATAATGATTCTTAAAAATTTCAATATTTTGTAAAATTTATTTTTAAAAATCTAAAAAAAAAAAAAAAAAAACCCACTTTTTTCAAATATTATTAATTACAAACATATATATCATTTCATTAATAATAAACCTCCCCCCCCCCAAAAAAAAAAACTGAGAAAAATTCAATTCAAATTTTTCAGATTTAAATAATTTTCAAATGCAAACTGACTCTTGCATAAACATTCTAACATGTGAAAGTATTTCTATGGCAAGAATGAGAAATTTACATGTTGATTTTAATAATACATAAAACATATTTTGGTTAACAACTTTCTAAAAGAATATTATCAAAAAATTTAATGGTCTGCACGTTTAAAGCATGTTTTGTCTTTGTGATTGGATTACAATTTACAGAAAAATAACATTACCTGCTAATTGTGTTTGAGGGATATTTCTCGCATGGCTTTCATCAGCATTAGCCCATTGAAAGAAACCACATGACTGTTCTCGAGGCTTGGAGCAAGCATAAAACTGCCGCCCTTTATTTATCCCCTCTTTTGAAACAGTCAGCCTAAAAAAATTCATTATGAATTAAAATATTATATAAATATATAACAAAAATATGCACCAAAAAGCCTTACATTATGATCAACCCTCACGTAGAGTAATGAGTTTGTCCGGAGAGAGAGTGCACATGTGGCTCATGCTGGAGTAAATGAAGTGCCTATGCACTGTTTCATTACATTTCAATAAATCATTATGACTTGGAGTTGGAAACAAAAATTTCAGAAACGATGCATTTGGTGGGCTGCTCATGTGCGGCTGTTACAAGTACTTATCGAAAGTGATGTATGGATACTGAAACAGCAAGTCACCAGCCAGTGGTTTGTTGACCATGGTGCCTTGATTCCAAGAAAGTGAAGACTTATGCATTGTTCGCTATAGCCTTAGTTGCAGTACCAGCTGGATCCGTTCCCCTTGGATTTCAACGTGTCCAGGTATCCAGCAGTAAATGCTGTAACCCCAATCCTTCACACTTTGATCTAGCTTAGTTGCTTCTCAAACGAAACGGTTGTCATTATTATAGAACGCTCTTATCGACATCAGGGCACTTTTTGAACCTGCATAGATGATGTATTTCTTTCAGTATTGTCTAGAAATAAATGCTAAAGCATTATAGATGGCAAATATTTCTGAGGAGAAGATAGAAAAGGCTTCAGGCAACCTAAAGCTTTTCTCCGCAAAGTACCTCCGCAGACAAATGCCAATGGAACTTGACTGTTGGTCTTTGAGACATCAGCATATATTGGGATAGGGGCTATTGTACCTGCACCTGTGCTCTTCAAAGATTTGTTGGAATGGAACTTCGCAAGCATTGCTCTTGTCAAAATTACCATAGACATTGAGAATAGTCATTTTTAAATGTGTGGAAGGTGGAATATTGTATGACCTTAAAGCTTTAACTTGTACATCAGTCAAATCATAGTTTTCCAAAAGTGACTGTATCCTCAAAGTAAAAGGAGGAATGCAAACAGTTCATTCTTAGTACAAAAGATTGTACTGGTCATCAGAGAGAAGTGATCGAACAGGACAAAATGGTTGAGAATTAATATTAAAGTACTATTTCAGAGACAACTGTTCATGTCTTAGAATAGTTGTCTCTGTTCTAAGACAGAACTCATAGACATAAAAATGGCTCTTGGCATTCTACACAAAGACTCTGCACTGACAACGTTTTGAATGCACCAGAACAAATCCGCAGAGCTTGGTGGTGGATAGGATCAATTTTAAGCAACATCGAAGGTGGTGAAGATCCTCAGGCAATTGATCCATATTAAATTTTTAATTAAATAAGACATCTATAAATTTGCAGCATGGAATATCTAGCAGCTCCCCAAGAGGTATTCACTAAGATGTTCAGAATATTCAATTTCTTAAAGCACTTTTTCTTCAGGATTGATACATGAGACAAGAAATTAAGCTTTCTGTAAAATATTAGTCCTCGGAACTTAACTTCAGGCAACATCCAGAAAGAGCTCTGGTTCTGGGAGTAGGTTTCTTTAATGGCAAAAATGCACACACATTGTCTTCTGATTTGAGAACTTGAATCCATTTCTAGTGGCTCATTTAGTAATTTTATCTAAACAAATCTGTAGTTGTCTTTGAATACAATGCATGTCTGAACCTTGACAACTAATCTGAAGACTGTGAACATATAATGTGCCAAGAACTGCTTCAGGAAGTTCATTAAGTGAATTAATTATTAAATTAAAAAGAATGACATTCAAAACACATCCTTGGATCCAAAACACTCCCTCTTCTTGGATAAATTCCTTTGACAGCAAAGAGCCTATTTGCACTTGGAAAGTTAATATAATAAAAATATAATAATATAACTGTGTTCTTCCTGTAAGCTAGTTAGCCTCTGTTTCTAATTTATTTATTATCTTTTGATTATTTAATTATTTTTGCAGAATACTACAAGGCCTTTAACAATTAATAATAATAATTTTGAAATTTCTAAACTCTTGATTATATATATGTGTGTATGTGTGTGTGATAAAAACAAACTTAGAAGCAATAGCGAGCATAATTTTGATGGTGTAGAAGTGTTGATATAACGAATAGGAAATTGGAGGTGAAGGCAGATTAAATCTTCATTTTTTATTTCACCAAACATGTTGTGGCCACAATCAAATTGGCATATTAAATATGCCTATCCTATTACATTTTAGGTAAACTTGCAATAAGAAAGAAGGAGCAGATAGGCAGCAGTCGAGTTAAGCCAAAGCGTACGAAGCAAGTGTGTTATGTTCAGGATGAAATCTTAATTCAGACTAAGTTAGTTTTGGTTCTCAATGCATTTTGATTGAACAGTTAATATTACTGTAAAATTACTATTGTCTGTTTGAGTTTTAGTTCCCTTTACATGATCAGAATTATAGTTTCTGAAAATGACGCAGTGCAAATAGAGGTTACTATTTTTAGAATACAGAAGGGAAATCCACTTTTAAGCCGCTAATTTAATCTTTTACATATTCTTTTTCTTACATATATATAACTAAAACGTAACTGAATCAGAAATGGTGGTTTACCAGCAAACAGAAAGAACAGAAATCAAAATTTAAACAAAACCAATTCAATAAAATAATATAACAAATAGTTAAAAATTCTATGGTCTTTTTCAAGAAGCGGATGAAAAATTTTCAACAGAGCCATGTTTTGGATTATATCTGAATGATTTTTAAAAAAGAAGTTATTAAATAATTCAAAAGTGAATACAAAAATAAACAAATTTAAAGTAATTTAAAATAAACGCAAAGCTATTAAACATTGCTCCTTATGCAAAGCTGTTTTTATTATTTAATAACAGAAATAAAACTTTAATTTAAGCTAAACTATTTGGACAGAAAAGAAAGTTAAATAAACTTAAAAAATTACAGATTTCCCCTTATATCCGATAAAAAAAATTTATTATGGAAACTTATGGTATCTATGAGCAGTCTGAAATGATGATTTTCTTTATCAGATTAATGAAAAGATAGAGCAACTATTAAATGAAATTTTGAAAACAGTTTTGAGACTTGGCTTTAAAATGCTGAAAGAAATTATAATAATATATATCAAGGTTCATTTTGATTTAAATATTTAATTGATAACATAATTTAACTTCTTTTAGACAGTTTTTTTTTTTTTTTTTTTTTTTTTTTTTTTTTTTAACACTAAGGGAAGAGAATTTGATGAAATATTCATGCAAGTCTTTCAAACTAATAGCGATTATACTTACAATCTTGCCTCTAATGAGCATCTACAAAGTACAGCAGAATTTTCATTTGCATTTGCAGAATGCCTAAATATAAATTAGAAAAGTTAAATAGTTACACAATCAGAACACTTAATATTTATTTGCATTCACTAACACTGAATTAAGATTAAATTGCAGCTGGCATACTACTTTGTACATTTATATAAAAACAAAACAAAACAAAAAAAAAAAAAAAAAAAAAAAAAAAAAAAAAAAAAAAAACAACATTCAAATTAGGCAAAAGATAAAAATGCATTACTATATCTCAGCATAATATACACAAACATATATCAAAAAGTATTACTTTTGCATAATTGTTATTGAATATGTTAAAAATTAAAAAAAGACACACACAGTTAAATTGAACTTAAAAATGATGTAAAATAATAAAGGTTGATACGCTTTTATATTTAAACATGGTTTCAGTATGTGCCCAGCTGCACCACAGGTCTGAGGTTCGATCCTTGGGCTGGGCAAAGTTGACTCAGCCTTTCATTCCATGAGTGGGTCGATAAAATGAATACCAAATTCGCTTGGGGACTAAACACCGGGGGTCCTGAGACAAGTTGACCACTTGTCCAGTGCATATGCTGACGCAGTTCAGGGTCCAAGGTCAAGAAAGCAGATTTCGGGGCACTGCAGGCCGTGGCCCACTAAGGCTGTTGCGCCACTGTGTGTGTGTTTTTCTCCCTAGTAGGTCAGCCTAGTTCATTTTAGCTTGTTCTTAACTAATCAATATTTCTATATATATATTACAAAACTATAATAAATTAAAAGCAAATAGAAAGATACTGCATACTCTATTTTATTTGGTGAATATATCTGTCCAGATATCAGGTGCTTTATGCAACAGTCATAGGTGCAAGGTCCAGAATATATTTATTTTGTTCCAACAAATAAGAAATAACATAAAAAAAAACTACCCAGAGCTTTGCATGTATTCATATTAGTGCATTTATTAATATTTCAGATTTAGTGGCATACTATTCTTAGCTAGTATTCAATGGTACTTATTATTAGTTGATTAACTGAAATTTGTATTTTTTAGACTTTTACTTTTTTCAAGAACCTTCAAGACAAAGGAGAAAGAAAAAGAGAAAGTCAACAGGTCATGAAAGATCTCCCTTCACTGTACTGCTTTCCTATTTAGCAGATTGTTCAAAATTAAAAACCTATGGGTATTTTTAAAAGAAAAAAATGTCAAAATATAATTTCCCGAATGGTGCTTTCATTTATGTACAAGAAGAGAAAGGATGAGGCCCGGTGGCACAGTGGCTACTGTATCGCGCAGCAGCACCACAAGTCTGGTGTTCAAACACCAGGCTGGGCAAGGTCGACTCAGCCTTTCATCCCTTAGGTCGATAAAATGAGTACCAAGTTTGCTTGGGTCAATAAAACGAGTACCAAGTTTGTTAATTGGGGGGGGGGCTGCGACAAGCTGTACGCACCCCGAGGCCCATTGTCAAGAAAGCAGATTTCAGGGCACTGCAGGCCTTGGCCCATTAGAGCTGTTTGCACTACTGAGTTTAGTTTAGTTTTTACAAGAGAAAGGATAGATGAATGAAAACAGTGTGAAACTGTGTATAAGAAACATTTGGCAAAAGCACCCTTTTGCCTTAAAGAATCCAGAAAATGTTTTAGTCCGGGGCATATCCGGATCTCATCTAATCAATAATACGAAGAAATTATTGGAAGCATGTAATACAGACATGGCAGTTATTCTAGGCAGATTAACATAATAGTTCAGCCTTTAGATATTGTATTAATAAACCATCCAAAGAAAATTTAAAACAACAGTGGAATACATGGATGTTAGAAGGTGAAGAAACATTTTAAAAAGGAGGCTAAATACATTATGCCAGTTTAGAAACAGTATGTGAGTAGATAATAAAAGCATGGAATGAAATTAAAGCCTACATAATTCCAAAGTCATTTAAAAAGTGCATTACATCTAACAATCTACATGGAATGGAAGACGATTATCTATTTATGGATCAGAGTAACAGTGATTATGAAGATAAAAGAGAATTTGATGATGTGCCTGAAGATATAACAGAAGACGAATATGATGAACTTTCTGTGTTATCCAATAATGAATTTTTTTAAGTTCATAAGTATGTCATTCTTTTAAATAAACAGCATTTAGATACATATAGAAATCAAATTCTTTTTATGCTCATTCCTTATTTTTAAATCTATCATTTTTTATATCTGGCATATAATGTGCACCCATAAATTTTGATCTCATTTTTTGTATTCAAAGAGTGCTTTATATGCCAGAATATATGGTAATTAATGAAAGGAATATAAAAAGATATAAAACAGATCATAAATTCTTCCTTTTTTAAATGGTCAGCAAAGTATGTTGTTAACCTCTTAGAAGCAGTAAAAAAATTTTAAAAATCTATGAATTTATTGGTGTTTGAAATATGAAGATTAGAAATAATTTATGTTCATTTGATAAAATAATCAAAAAGCTTATTTTCCACAGTTACACAGATTTAATTTAAAATATGAATTTAATGCTATTGTTACCACTTAAATACTGTTAATTTCATTTTACATATAACTAACATTAAACTACATCAAAATAACTTACAGCTATTACATACTCTAAAATAAAAATTAAACCAGATTTCCTTTACCTAAAAGCAAAATTATTCTCAGGTCTTTGGTAAGAATTCATCTGTGATGACTGAGCACTTTCATCATCTTTCCACAAGAAAAATCCACATCTTTTATCTTCAGCCATTTCAGGACATTTATAAAACTGTCTGCCTATGAAAGGTATATCAAAATTAGGAATCTTATTTTAATTTAACAATTTGTTAACTAATACCAACAAATCCAAAAGGGACTCTACAGACTTTCATAGCACTAATAATGGTTAAATTAAGAATAAAGTACGCACACTTATTCAGAATATAACGAAAGGATAAAATATGAATATATTCATGCACATTCACTAAGAGACAGTCCACTTTAGTGGAGACTCCATGTTAACAGACAGTTCTTGAATGCCTGGACCTTAAAATAGAAGATCAATGCACTCCTTTTAATGAACAAACTATGACTGTTCACCAAAATGAGGTTTAACTGTATTAAACTCATAAGCCTTTCAATAAACAAGTCTGGTCAGTGCTAACTTAAAAAGAACTATGTTTTTAACAATAACTTTTCTATAATACAAGAGGGAAAAAAGCAGACTAACTTAAAATTACAATTAAGGAAAAATTCAATTTGGCAACAGCTATATTAGAATGAACTTTATGCATCTTGAGGAAGTGGATTTCCTTCTTTAAAAATCAAAATTCTTCTCTGCCATTTTGCTGTTAATATATCACATAGATGAACAAGATTTAAAATAACAATAATAATAATCTTCAAGTTGAGAACTGACAACAGGTAAATTTAAGTATCAAAATAATATAAAATTAAAGCATGAGTTAGAAGAATGTTAATTAATTTTTCCAAGGTTTAAATCAATTATCAGTAGCTGTAAAAATAACATATCTCAATTTAGCTTTAAAATGACGTAAAATACAATTTTGGCTAACCATCAATTTTAGGGAAACTTTCTATGCATTAAAAAAAAAAAAAAAAAACCTGATGTATACACCACATGACTTCCTTGTACGGAATATTAAATTACATGCATTTTCATTGTTTTCACTTCACAAGGCAAAAATACATAAAAACTCAATATCACTTCACTTACGCATTAATTCAGTTCTCACTTCACGACAAGGCAAAATACATAAAAACTCAAGTGTGTATCCATTTTAAATCAGTTTTATAATTCGTTTGAGGAAAAAGAGTCCTTTATTCTGTCCTTACCTACAGATGTCATGCCCAAAACACCGTTAAGTTGCATTTAATATCTGTCAAAATGGATATTTTTGCTGAAATATGAGACCCGGAATTTTTTGTAATTACAATACTTCCTTTACTTCATACAAGGAAGAAAAAAAGAGGAAAGAAATGTGATTTAGGTTCCTCCTTCCCTTACAAAAAAAAGAGAGAAAGACAAGACAGAAAGATCATTCAGGTTTCTGAATTTGCACACAACATTTTGTTGATATCATCACCAAAACTCTGGTTAAATTTTGATGAATTTTGAACTAATTATTGATAATGAAAAGCATTCAATATAAAAATACTTGCCTTCAAAATGAAAAGTTAAGTTTTTATAATATAAATATAAATAAAATTTTATGAAAGTTAAGCATTCACCACACTTTTACACAAACTAGTAATCAAACACAGAATTTGCATATGAAAGTACATTTACATTTTTTTTAATATTATGAATATAATTCTAGAAAGCAATAATTAAAACAATATTAAACAGAATTATTTTAGAACAAAATAATTAATAAAATAAACAGGGATAGGAAAATATGCAGCAAACAAAAATAAATAAGGCTTAATCATATATACAACAGTTGCTGCATAATAAACTTACTGGTTAATAAACTCAGCCACTTTTTATGGTCAAATTTCCAAGAAGTGAAACATATACATATTAATCAATTAAAAAAAAAACTGCCATTTATTAAATTCAGATTGGCAAACGACTGATTCGTCAGTGCCAGAATATCTTAATGGTACAGTACAAAGTACGAAATCCAGGCGTCCATTATCCGGAATGATCTAAAATCCGGACCTCAAAGCCACCAACAACATTTTCTCGTAGACATACGCATGCGCATTTGATTCCCCCCTCCGCAAATAATAAAACATCTGGAAAGTCCCGATTCTTAATTTCACTTCGACACTAAATAAAATACCTTGTTACTATACATCGTGAAGATGACATCCGTCTAGTTCTTGCCGTACGGAATTGAACATCATTTCTGCGGAAGTCAGTTACATTGGCATACAAGACCTGTTGTTCAATACATATTATTTTCTTTTTGTTTTGTATTAGCTGAGAAATGCTTGGCGCCAGAGCGGAATGTTGGCTAATGGTGCATGCGCCGCCGGAATTGGCGTTGAAATGGATTCTGTGAGAAACTTGATTTTGTGGTACATTGGAAGTTGCGATTCATATGTTACGCTCTAAGGTGAAACTTAGCGCCAGAGAGTCGCTGTGGAAAATAAATGTATTGAAACTGTGTAATGTGTGTGGAGTTATTTTATTACGATATATAGCTATCGACGGGAAATAGAATAAGTCATTACAAGTTTTGTGGCCGATCAGAGCCGGAAGAGCTAATAAAGTTTATGAGAGTGCGAATTTACTTTAGGTTTGTGAAACGAAGAATTATATTAGGATACTTCAAGATTGAAGTTCTGTAGAAACAAAAGGGTAAGTACCCTCCTCCTTTTTGAAGCTCACTGTACCATTTTGAAGCTCTTTATTTGTTTATTGACTTTTGCTAATTAAAATGTCACTAAAGGAGATATTAGCGAAAAAACGTACATTAAAAACACAGTTAACAAAGTTAAAACAAAAGGTTGTAGACGAAAATGTCCAAGGAAGTGACTTGGAAGTACTAAAAAATAAATTTAAAGTGTTTGAGAAAGAAATAAATTCTAATTTCGATTCTTTGTTCGGGTTATGTACGGAAGAAAGTATTGACGCTTATGTAAAAGAGAAAGAAGAGATTGACGATATTCTCTTAGATGTAGAAGTCGAAATAAATCGTAAATTAGCTAAACTTTCCAAAGAAATTAAATCGGAGCTTTCGGTTTGCATGAATACTGAGAACAATATTAAATTACCCAAAATTAATTTGCCAGCGTTTTCGGGTAACTTACATGAGTGGCTTTCATTTAAAGATATCTTTTTAGCCAGTGTTGATTCAAATCCTAATTTAACAGATGCAGTCAAATTACAGTACTTAAAATCTGCGCTAAGAGGTGATGCTTATCGTATTCTGCAGTCAATATCCATAGTTGACTCTAATTATAAATTAGCCTTTTCATTACTAGAAGAAAGGTTCTCTAATCACCGCGAACAAGTGTATGCTCATCTGAGACGATTTATGAATATGCATCCTATGCAAAATGAGTCTGCGTCAGCAATATTAAACTTAATTGACATTACAAATGAATGCGTGAGATCACTAGAAGTTTTAAATCAGAGTGTTAACGGTTTTTCTTCCAATGTGTTTGCACACATTTTAGGGCAAAAATTAGATCCTAACACCAAAATATGGTGGGAAAGAAAATTAGAGAAAGAGAATTTGCCTAATTTAACAGATCTTATAGAATTTCTTAAAGATCATGCAAGAACTCTCAACTCTTAAATAGTGTGACTAACACAAAAAAAGTTACACATAGAGTTACCGCTGTCGTTTCTAATGCAAATCAAAAACAAATGCAGAATTCGTGTAGGTTATGTAATTTGAGCAATCACAAGCTTTTTAATTGTCCTAAATTTCAGAAATTAAGTGTAAAAGAAAGGGTAGAATTTGTGAAAAAACAGAATTTATGTTTTTGTTGTTTTAATTTGCACAGTGTGAGAAATTGCCGTTCTAGTTACTTGTGCAAGAAGTGTAAGAAAAAATAGCTTTCTCTTGTATTATCAAAATGAAAATAATTTCATTGGCACCACAGTAGAAAGAGCAGACACTTTAGATCAGGAGTTGGGTGATCAAAACAGCAATGCGTTAAATGTACTCGCACCTGCATTTCAAGCTAAAACTCAAAATGAAACTTTTACAGCCGCTACGGGTACTAACAGTGGGAAAACGTGATTTTATCTACTGCCTTTGTATTCATTGAGACTAACGATGGAACTTTAATTAAGGTGAAAGCGTTATGTGATAGTGGAAGTGTTTCTTGTTTTTGTACCACTGAATTAGCGGATATATTTAATTTAAAAAGGGGAAAAGGCAAATATTTCGGTTTGCAGTATATCAGGTATCACAACTTACAATAAAAAGAAAAACAGTTGTACTTATCTGTAATCAGGAACAAACGTATAAAAGAAAACTAGAGGTTTTGGTAATTCCAAAAATAGCAGGTTTAACTCCCGCAAAGTTTATCGATGTTAGTAACCTTGCGATTCCTGAGAAGGTGAATTTAGCGGATCCGGAATTTTATATACCAGATAAAGTAAACCTGTTGTGCGGCACGGAAGTTTTTTTATGATATGTTACGAGCCGGTAAAATCTATGTTCCTAACACAGGCTTGATATTACAAAATAGTGTGTTTGGATATATAGTTAGTGGAAATGTAAATGATTCACGGAGAAATAATTTATCGTATTGTGGGTTAATAAATGATAATTCAGAGAGGGAATTGAAAATGTTTTTCGACCTAGAATCATTAGGAATTAAAGATGATCCTTATTGTCATGAGGAAGACAAAGCATTGGAAATATTTAATAAGACAGTTTGTTTTAAAGCTGGTCGCTACGAGGTTACTTTACCTTGGAAAAGGGACTGGAGGGAATTAGTCGATAATTACCGAGTAGGGGAAAATAGATTAAAAACTCTTGCAAAGCGAATGAATTATGACAAAACACTGTTTTCTACATATAGTGAAATATTAGATGATTATCTCACGCAAGGTATCATTGAGAGAGTGTCAGATGGAAATATACCTATCGACAAACCAGTGTTTTACCTACCACACCAACCGGTATTTAGAGAAACCAGTGCTTCAACGAAGACTAGAATAGTGTTTGATGGCAGCTCACATGAGTTCGGGCAGCTATCACTGAACGATTGTCTATGGACAGGGACAAATTTAAATCCTAATATGTTCCATCTGCTAATTAATTTCCGATTAAATAAAGTTGCAATTTCAGCGGATGTAGAAAAAG